AAAAAAAACACATTGATTTAAAAGAATCTTTTATATGCTAACTCGTGTGTGTGGTACTGAAAATACAATAGTGGGAGCAAGCATACATAATCCCTATTCTCTAGGTGGTTACTGAAAAAAAGGAGGAATCTAGCAGAGGATAAATCCATTGCCCAAATAACTGAGACTATTATAAAGAGACAGAAATAAAATTCATCAACAGATTTCTCCTGTATCAAAAAGTGAGGGAAGACTTACTTTTGTAACTTAGCAAGAACTTGATGGAATTCATTAGACATAGAAGTAAATGGTATGCAGAAGGAGGACCCTGGAAGTGTGCATGTACATTAGACACTAAGAAAATGGAATGAGACCAGAAATGCAAGGAAAATGCAGATCACTTAGGGTTTGACAGTTGAGTTAATAGCTATAGACTTTATTTGGAAGAACAATATCAAGTCATTCGTGTGATCTTGCAGGGAAATGACATTGATATGATTGGTTTTCATATTTTAAAATAGGGAAATAAAACAATAGCAATATGAATGATGGGTATGTTAATTACCTTGACTGTGATAATTATTCATAGTGTGTAAGTATATCAAAACATCAAGCTATACAGCTTAAATACACACAGTTCGTGTCAATTAACCTTCAATAAACAATTGCAAAAATCCTGGATAAAGTGCAGTTTATTGTACTTAAACTATAATAAGCACAATAAGGAAATATTTTTAGCTGAATATTAGAGTTTAAAGCATTATGATTAAAATTTAAAATAATTATTCAGATTAAACATGTTTAAAGGTCAATAAAAGAATCTAGCTGAGAGAAAGATAATGAACACATTAATAGGAAATTATAATCCAACCTAAGAGTCCAGTTATTAAAGAAGAAAGAGTGGGTCTAGAGGTATAAATTTGAAATTTAATTTGGGAAATGTTGAGTTCGGATGTCTCAGAAGCATCAAATGGAAATGCTTGTTCAAAAATTTTGGTAGTAAGAGACTAATATATATCTGAAACTTAAGGGAGAATTCTGTATTAAGGATACAGCCTTTGGAAAGGGCAGGAGAATGAAGCTTGCAGTAGAAATTCATTAGCAAAAAAATAATTTGTCACCTAGGGAGATTTTATAAAGCAGGTTAACTGTGTAACAAATAGAATCGCAGGGAATACCTACTTAAGTTCTGAGAGTAGGAAAAACAAAGAAATCTTCAGTAGTTCAGTATCACAGAGGGAGAAGATGTATGACCTCATTCAAAATGTCTGAGTAACCTGGTTATAGGATAACATTTTCTTTCAACAACTCTAAGCACATTTTTTTCTAAGAATTTTATATATTTAATTTACAAGAATTCTATAACACAAAAGAACATGTCTCAAATGTATTCTAAGAACAGTCTTGTGTATATTTATTTGTGTGGGATACATTTATATTTGTGTGTATAGGAAAAATCTGCAATTACAAACCATTCTTTCGTACTTTATCAGGGAGAGAATGCAATGAGATTTTATATTTTTTAGAAGTGAAAAGAAACAGTAACTATATGAGGTGATGCGTATCCCAATTAATTTAATCATAGTGAATATTTCACAATGTGAAAAATAAAAGTTTATTGTTTATTCTACTGAGGAAAATACTGAGGTGTGACTGATTTAAAAGCAAATTTTGACAGTGAATTGAAAAGATTACATCTACAATGGCATGTATATTGCAGTGTGGATTCATTTGACACATTTTGAAGACTGTGTGCTCCTTTCTGACTAAGCTTTATTGCAAATGAACAGTGGTGCCTTTATGTATCAAATTACTAAATGTTCCACTCCTTCTTAATAGAATATTAATTATTGCAATTTGGGGAACTTGACTAATGTTGGGGAACTTGACTATTTGGGGGAACTTGACTAATATTACCCAAGTAGAGTGAAAACAATACAACAACAACAACAACAACAACAACAAACAACAAATAAACCACATTGTTCTGGACAAGATGTAATCTGAGAAAAAAATAATCTAAAACTTATCCCAAATATGAAGTTATTTGGGACACTGTTTTGCTATTATCCTAAGTAAATTCCTTATGAGAAGTATTGTTTTAAGATTCACTAATGACTTTACAAAGGAAAGAAATTTTAGGGAATCTAATTTGAACAGAGTCAGAGGATTTTTTTTTTCAGTTATTCTTTGTACCTTTTGAACAGTTTCTTTCTAATGGTTTTCCTAGGTCCTTCCTGGCTCATTTGGAATATATGATACTTCTGGCCACTTGCCTGATTTGGGTCTAACTATGGCTTCATAGATTTACCTAGAAGACCTAGTGCTTGAGCTTCTGAACATAAAATACAGCAAGAATAAAAATAATAAAAACACTCACAAATTCTTCTTCCATAAAGTTTTGCTCTTTCACCTTTCATTGCTCCATTTACACAAGATATTAATGTATGTAAATTTAGTTATCCATCATTAGATTTGCTTCATTAACTTTGTTCTAAAAACTCTATTTATTAGCTCTTCTTCAGGGTCTTCTTTCATAATGCTTTTATGTTGAAGTCTACACAGATTGCAGTGTTTGTCGAATAAACTCAATTATTAAGTTTACTGTTCAGATCTTTGCATAATGATTTGCATAACTACCATCAGAAATAGATTTTTTCTCCCCAAGGAAGTTAGTTTGCAAAGAAAATGTTATGAATTTTCATTGTAGTCTCTTAGTTTTTACCTCTAGGCAAATTACAGTATTATTTTAAAATGCAGTGTTTCTTTTTAAATTTAGGGCATATTCCTTAAGAAAATAAGACAATCTTCCATATTTTAATAATAATAATAATATAATTTAATACAATAGAGTGCCATTCTTTGCTCATTCCCTCGGGTTACAATAGAATTTTTTAATGACTCCTTTCTACATTTTCAGGGTGAAACAAAAATCTTAAAACTAAAGAATCTTCGACCTCAGGACTATGCTAATTACAGCTGCATTGCTTCAGTGAGGAATGTGTGTAATATACCTGATAAGATGGTGTCATTTAGACTTTCCAACAAGACAGGTATGGAACTCTCTGTTATATGTTTACTGTCTGTAACTGATTTTTAAAAGAATTCTTCATCCTTCTTATAGACCAAATGATTTCTACAATATATGTACAATAAGCACCTTTTTTTCCCCCAGAAAAATCTGGGAAATACTAAAAGCTTCTGGTAAATAAAGGTTTAATTTTAATTGCAGTATGCTCTATGAAATGTGTTTATGTATCAAACATACAAAATTATAGTTCCTTAAAATGTGTTCATGAATACCACAAGCAAGCCTATATCCTATTCATAGAGATTTTTTAGGAATATTAGATTTTTCATATACAAATTCGTGATCTAAGTTGTTAAAAGTGTGTTGTGATCCCAAAGCTAAGTGAGAACCATTCTTTTATGTAAAGAAAGCTAGTTGCTAATTTCAGCTAGGTGTTTTAGGACAGTATTTTTGCAGGAAATGTCAAAACATTAGCAGGATTGCTACTCAATATAGGCTGTGTTTAATAACACAGACCTCAGAATAACTGCAAACAAATTTAGAAGAGATTGTTAAATGAAAGAGTAAAGAAAAAGCCCATGAATTAACTATCTTCTGTATGATTGTATATAAACAATCACCTTCACAAATCAGTAATTGTATTGGTTTTGAAATTCCAACTTTCAGTGGTAGTGGTAATTTTTTATGATTCAGTATATATATATTAAAGAGTTTAAAAGAGCTCCTTTCCAAAACTAAAATCAATAAAATAAAAGAGTCCCTTTCCATTGCTTTTGCTGTGGCTAGGTCTAGATCTTAGTTCTGTCTCTTACTTGTTGAGCAAATTCCTTCACATTTCATTACCCCATTTCCTCATAAACTTATAAAGCAGTAAGAACTAAGAGAGAATAAAATCATGGAATTTGCAGGTAAATGGATGGCATTGGAGAAGATAATGCTAAGTGAAGTTAGCCAATCCCAAAGAACAAATGCCGAATGTTTTCTTTGATATAAGGAGGCTGACTCAAAATGGGAATAGGAAGGGAGACCATGGGAGGAATAGATGAATTCTAGAAAGGCAGAGGGTTGGGAGGGAAAGGGAGGGGGCAGGGGATTAGCAAGAATGGAATGTGATAGACTTCATTATCCAAAGTACATATATGAAGACACGAATTGGTGTCAACATACTTTATATACAAACAGAGATATGAAAAATTGTACTATATATGTGTAATAAGAATTATAATGCATTCCACTGTCATTTTTTTAAAAAAAATCAATAAAAATGAAGTTAAAAAAATAAAGTAGTAGGAAAGAATTAATGGGTTGATATGTCAGGCATATGGAATATACTTTATTATTTCTTCCAACAAAGAGTTGGTCAGCAACTCTAATCAGTTCATTTTGATGAAAAGATGAAACTTATGATTTTATTGGAAGAAACAAAGAAAGCTCATACACTGAGTTATCAACATGTTCCATTGAGTTTCTAAAATTTCAAAATGTTTAATATTTTATCCATTTATTAATTTATTTATCAGAAACTTCTTGGGCCCCTATCATGAAATAATAGATGTAGGGATATTAGCAAAGTAGCAAATTGCTTTAAACTGGATAGTGTTCTATTAAGTAACACATAAAAGTCATTATAAGAAAGTTATAAGAAGAAAGTAGGGGAAAAAGTGAACATAATCAATAGTGGTAGAATTATGTTGCAAAAAAAATGAAAATGTAAAATTTTAGCAGACCTAAGACATAAAATTTAACAATCTCCTGTTCTTTTAAAGAAAGGAAATAGGATATTGTGAAATAAAAATAAGATATTAACATAAGAAAACTAGTTGTAATTATGTGGTTATTGTCATGAAATACATTATAACAATTATATGAACAATTATAACTAATTTTCTTAGCTTTGATATATGTTTAAAATACAGATGATGCAGAGAGGAAAAAATAAAGTAGAAGAAGGTTCTTGGATGGGGAAAGACGTTGCAGTGGAGTTATGAAGAACAGAAAAGTTTGATGAATTGTTACTTATGGGTACAGCTTTCTTGAAGTGCTTTATTAATTTTTAAAGTCTTTCATGTTTATTATCTCAGTTTTTCTTTATAAAAATGGGATATAAACAGGAAGATTTTAAAAAGTTATATATTTTCCTATCATCTGACACATAACCATCCTTCAGAAATTGAAGTATTCCTTTTGGTTTGTTCTGAGAATAAGTAAAATTAGCATACACACAAAGAAAATATTTAAAGACTAAGAGGTGAAATTGATATTTGAGGTGCAAATTATTTTTGATAATTTTATGCTTCAAAAAATATATGGTCTTATGTCTGAAGAACTCACAGCTCATAAAGGATAGGGACAAGATTGATCCTAATGTGAGATTAAATAGGAGCCTAACCAGCTCTTTAGTTTTCACAGAGCTAGAGAAAATGAATTGAAAATCAAGCCACCGTGTTTTATTAGAAATACATAAAGACTTTTAACTTTAATTTTAATGGGGACAATTGTCATGAAAGGTGACAGAATTCCTGAAGTCTGTTAAAGAATCTAGGTGATTTTAACTTTGAGATTATTTTTAATAATCACCAGCTCAGAAAGAATCTGGACTATCTTTATAGTGGGCACAGGTGTGCTATAAAAACAAATATTTTGTTCAATTCTTTCACAATTCTGACCCATTCTTTATTTTTTCTAGTTAATATATACCTACATGGATCAAACAAGGAAAACAGTTTTTTTTCTCTTGTTAATTATATGACAAAAATTTCAGATTGATGTTTATTACAAAATGAATTATAGTAAATAATCAGGTTTAACATATAAGCTAATATTTGTTTGACTCTTCAATAACTGCAATCAGGCAGGCATGTAACATGCCTAATACTTTACATATTCAAACCAGGTTTGCTTCAGAACTTTTCCCATCTGGTTGTGCTCATAGTTGGAAGGGCTTGTGCATTTCAAATAGGTGAAATCATCTAGGTAACTCTCAAAGAGCACCAGGAATAAATTAAACATGGAGTATCTTCATGAAAGCTGTTCTATGAACTGACAAGTGCACAAAGGCTACTTCATTGCTTAAGTTACCATTGTCATAATCCATGTGAAATCAAATACTCCTTATGATTCTCATTATCATAAATCTCTAAGGGACATGATAAAATGCCCATGTTTCTTTCTTATTTTGTATTGTTGCTGGTTCATTATAGTTATATGTAGTATTTATTATGTATATAATATCAGGGCTCATTTTGGCATAATCATACATGCATGTTATATTATTTGTTCCACTTTAGTCCCCAGTACTTCCTCTTGCCTCCCCAATGCCCATATTCTGTAGTCTTGGTTTACAAAATGTAAAAGAGAATGTTCACCTTACTGAGATGGAAAAAACATATTATAAACCTTGCAATATGTTTTGTTAACCTCCTTTATAAACTAATTTGTTTATAAATGTGCTAACTTTGGAAATGATTTTCATAAGGATGATCAATTAATTCACTAATATACTTTTTACACAGAAAAATTTTTACTGTAACATCTCTGCAGTCAAGTAAAGTTTTTAATTGTAATAAGTATATAGTACTTAGAAAACTAGGGTCTAAGAGTCATTTTAAAAGTCAGTGTCATCTATAGATGTCAATGTGTTTTCTCAACCTTTTCACTATGAATTGGCATTGTAGCTCATAATTTTATGCCAACGGAGAAAAGTACCCAGTAACTTATGCGCCCCATTGATTGCCTGACAATGAGAATATATCTCCTGTCACAGAAGTGTCAGTATGCATCACACCTAATCTAGTGTCTTAAAGCTTATCATGACAATTTACAACTTTATATATGTGTGTGTGCTCGCGCATGTGTGCTGGGTGTGTGTGTGTATATATATATATATATACACATTCATATGCATAGATATATATACCTATAAGATGAAGTGTCAATTTATTTGTCTCCTGTTATGCATATTTATCAATTGACAAAGTGCTATGGCAGGGTCCTAAAGTTATTGTGGTTATTCTTCTACTTCCATTTGGAAGAAAAAAAAATATATTAGTTCTTGATTGATAAATTATTACTGTAGTATTATTTCTCATAGTTTAAAAAATAAACCTGTTAAGATTTGTAAATTCAGAATCTTAATAAGAGTACGTGTATTTTGAAGTGATCCTAATTATGGCAACTGATCATAAATTATTTAAAATTTTTCAGATTATGTGTATTTACAACATAAAGGTATATATAGAAATTATGAGAAAACAAATTTCATTTATTTTAATGTATTTCAAGCACTTACATGTTGATATCTCATAATTTCAAAGGCAAATAAGAATTAAGTAGGTTACCCATATTAGGATGAAAAACATATTTTGTACCTTCTTGAGAGGTTATGATGAATTCTATAAAGAAATGGGACTTGTGGGGCTAATTTTACTTAATTATATAAGTGCCTTGATTTAGTGTGTTCAACCTTAGCAGTTATAAAAAAAAATATATAATTGAGAAGTCTTCCTCCAATGCATGTTACATTTAGAAACCAACTCATCACACAAGTATACTGGCCATAGAATTAGTAGAGACCTCCATCACCTCCTTTTTGGTCTGTCCCTCTCCCTACTCTTCTTTCTCTCTTTCTCTCCTCCCACCCCTTCCTTCTTGTCCCTTCCTCTCCACCTCTCTCCAATCTGTATTAATAACTTATCATAGAATAAGAGTAAAAAAACTCTCTTCTTTATGCTGGGCTGTTCTAATTTTTATAACTCATAGGGAATTGAAGATAAATGCCCAGCAATTACTGTGAAACTCAATGTAAAATGTTTTGTATGCTCTAGTCATTTTATGACAGTCTTCTTCAAGGTTAAAAGAAATGCAACTTACTTATCTAGGTGTTATGAAAAATAAATAATATTTTAATTATAGAAATGTTGATAGATGGGGGCATGAAACACAAATACATGAACACTTCCTCCCGTGACACAGTGCCTGTTGTCACAGAAGGTAAGTTCAAAAGCAAATTAGGAAGCAGCAACA